CCTGGTTTATATTTTTGCTCTTCCTACACATTGCAATACTCTTTATTCTTATATAATGATCCTTTACATCTTCTCATTTCAGCATTCTCTACCCAACTGTTAATGTGTGTGTTAGCCAGTCATCTAGGCGCTTTTATAAAATACACCTGCACATTCTCTATCCCACATCTAGTGAGTCAGAATTTATGGGGCAGGAAAAATGGTGTGTCTACATAAAGCTTGCTCAGTAGTTCTGACAGGTCCTCTGGACTGAAGCATTATGCCATATTGACTGGAAACAGATTAATCTTGCACCTTACAACCTTGCATCTGCCTCCAAATATTTAAAAGGTCCTCAGTGCCTACTGGATTGTAAAATTGCATGACCTCCAGGAGAGCCTCTCTGAACTCTATAGGAACTCCACAAACTCATTTCAGCTTACCTTTTATTAGGCGCTCAATTTCTACCTTTCCAACAAATGCACCTAACTTTGCAACAACATTCACTGCTAAACATAGCCCATCTTTCCTATTCCTGCACATTTGTATATACTGTATATTTTCCCAGAAACCCAAGCCCCTCCATCACTTTCTCTAGAAATCCTTCCTATCTAGGGATGAGCTAAATGTAGCCTCCACCAGGGAACTGTTCTTCATTTTCAATGACTAAAATAAATGCCATTTCTAGAATCCCAAAATATTGTGTTTCCATCTCCTTTGTAGATCAATCACATTCTGACTTGATAACTCTTTTGTTTTTTAAACAAATTCTCATAAGAACATAATATTTTGTCAAGAAAGAATTCTAACTTTATTTTGTATTTCCTTCCTACCTAGCATAGGATCACGTTCTGTATAGATTATGAATGAATGGGTAGATGGATAGAAGAATGAATAAAAAGATTTAAGAGTTGGGAATCCAGTTTGTAACTGTCTGTAATTTCACTTGTTCATAGGGCTTTATAAAATAATGAATTTAACAATCAAAATTTGTCTGTTTAGAATTACGATTTGAGACAGAGTTGAGGACTAATAATGAAGATGAAAAGAAATCATCACAAGGCATTGAGGTAATCCCTTCACACTTAAAAAAGAGAGACAGGTAATGTCCACATTCTTCATTAATATTGTGTCTAGAAGACCCAAGGCTTTATTGAGCTTAGATAACTCTTGGAGAGGGTTCAAGACAAAACACCAGGAAAGAAGAAATCTCTTCTACTCTATGCTTTTAAAGAAATTGTAGTATTCTTCTAAAGGAGAAAGATGTAACAGAATAAGTACATAAAAAATTTTAAACATTCAATGCAAAGCTCCTAAAAGCCCTAAAAAGAATTTCTTTTCATCATAGTAAAGTATCGAATTATTTCTATGTCACTTGGGTTGAATGGTCAAAAGTTCTGATGCAATTTAATGCAAGGTCCCACCTAACATAATTAAGTACTTAGTCATCCTTGGCTGTAGAACACTTAAAATTTAAAGCTTAAAACTTTCTCGTTATGACTAAGAACATAAAAGTGAAAATACTTTTCAAAAGATTTTAAGTTTCATTGAGACCTGCTTGATTGAAGTGTAAAATCACTTGTAATTGATAATATTTATTATTAATCAAAGGTTAATCTGGATATGCGTGTACACAGCTTGTACTTTTAAATCAGAGAAGATTTTACAAAAGTTTTGCAAAACTACATTGGCTGCTATTGATTGCCATTTTAAAAACTTGCTTATTAGTATTTTTTCTTATATAAAATTTTAAAAATAAATTTTCTCATGTTAAGAATGAAGAAGGAAGTATGAATACGGTTTTATAGCTTCAAAAAGGCATAATATAACACTCAAATAATCCTCTGATGATCATGAAAATACCAAATAAGTCTCAAGAAGACACAAGAAAAGGCTTGTTGTAGTAAGCCAAGATTTGTGAAATGAAATTGATTTCCATTCAAATCAGGTCTTTTACTCTTCTTGAAAATGTCAAGGTGTCAGCCTTGACCATTACGGGACTGTGATTTATAGTTGAGACAAAGCGATAGTACCAGCTGACTGTCTGGAGCCATGGTACAGTGTCTGGGAAGGCTGCCGATGACAGCCACCTCTTTTCTTAACCAATCAGCAAGGCTATGTAAGACTCGAGTCTTTTTTCCTCTGTCTTGATAAGGGAATGATAAAATACTATCTGGAAGATTTACTTTGTGGGAAAAAAACAAGCATTGTGAAGGGAAGGAGGTATCATTTTTCCACAGAACAAATTGCAAATATTATTTATGGCAATCTATACTACAGCCCTTTAGAAATACATATTCATAATGAGACCATAAACAGATGTTCCAAATATGACAACTTATTTTAATATACTGGAAGCCACAGCATAATTTTGTAATTTGATTAATTAGTAAGAAGAATTGTGAATGTTAAAATACATATTCAAACTCTCTAAATTATATTTATGGCTTTGCTCATCTGCATCACAACAAAAGCACAAAATGTTTTGCATTAGAACCATTATTCATAGTAAATTAATCTTTTTATCATTGAGAAAGATTCCTAAATAGTGGTTCTTGACAGTAAAATGTTAAAAACCACCCAGGTCATACTATGATAAATAAAAGAGCAAAAAAGTAAAGGATAATAAATAAGAATCTAACATCCTTATTTTATAATTGTATCCATCATATACACATCATACACACACACATATGTATATATAATGCACATGTATGTGTATAATAGTAATAGAGGAAGAAATTACTTCATAAACAAAAATAAAAATTTCCAAGAATCAACACATAATTATCTCTAACGCTGGAGATATAAGCGAGAATATAAAATTTGCTTTAAGAAAATGGCCTGAACATAAGGTAGCTAAGGATAGACACAATAGGCTACAGAAAAAAATCATCAGGTTGGGCGTGGTAGCTCACATTGTAATCCCAGCACTTTGGGAGGCTGAGGCGGGAGGATCATGAGGTCAGGAGTTCAAGGCCAGCCTGGCCAACATAATGAAACCCCATCTCTACTAAAAAAAATACAAAAATTAGCCAGGTGTGGTGGCTCATGCCTGTAGTCCCAGCAACTTGGAAGGCTGAGACAGGAGAATCGCTTGAACCCAGGAGGTGGAGGTTGGAATGAGTCAAGACCACACCATTGCACTCTAGCCTCAGTGACAGAATGAGACTCTGTCTCAAAAATAAATAAATAAATCATCATCTCTTCTTTACCAAACTAGTTCTAGTAATCCGAGATAATTTTTAATATTTCAAATTCCTAAATGAGACCAAATGCTGACTTTCATGGTATATATCATATATTAAATGCTTATGGAAAGCGTTAATAAAGGTAATTAATTTCATGACACTTAAGGCTGAGATTTGCTGCAGAAGATGTTTTATAGTTTCCATGCTGTACAGAGGCCATTTGGCAGAATAAACTAATACTGACTGCAGATTGATAGGTATCAGTAAGTTTACCAAGACATTTTCAAAAGCCTGTCAATCATTATTATACTCAGTGATGAAAAACTGTGCAGTGGTGGTTGTGTGTCCCATTACATTCCCACCTGCTTTAAATTCCTTTCACATTCTACCATTGACAGACCCTCACTCATCCTCATGACTTGGATAGGCTAGTCTTCTTTTGCTTCCCTACATTAGCCACCCAATCAGAGTAGCCCTTGTTTATTAAGTAAGTGGATCCACAGATGGCATGTCACCAAAACAGAGCCAATCCAAGATTTTCTGACAACTGAAACTGATGCTGGGGTAAAGGGAACCTTTTTGTTTGTTTGTTTTTTTCTGGATTCACAGGCTGTAGGGCGTTGCATGATGCAAGTCTGGAGTGGTGGGTGGCCATCTTTGCTACCACACTGAGAAAGATTACTTGAGAATGAAGTCAACACTGGAGAGAAAGAGAGAGAAATATCAGGTGAGAGGGAGAGGCAGAGCCAGCAGAGAGAACTTGGGGGAGGGTGTGAAGAATAGATGCATTAATGAATAAATATCTTATTTTAAGCTGACAAATTATACTTAGGAACTGATGAATTCCATGTGGGCTTCATTCTCAGGTAGACTCTTTCCACAATGGCAACAAAGATGGTCACTAGCAAGCCCACGCCTCCATTCTCCTTAAAATTTGCAATTCTTGAAGTCAAAGAAAAACCATCTTTTTTTCCAATATCTATGTTACTTTTAAAAGAAGACATTAAGGAAAGTCTGCATGAAATTTCATTCATCAGTAAAGACCACACTGGCCTTGAATAAACTTTATAAGCAGTTTTTATAAAGAAAATCAACATTGGGGTCAATAAAATATATTTTCTTATAAATGTGGGTATTCCTTATAGAAACACATATCTTATAGATAGGTAAATAGTAGGCAAAGAGAATTTCCTGACTCAATCACTAAGAGATAAGGTAGGGATTACATTTTATATCTTAAATTTAGAAACACATAGTCCTATTATTTATTAGAAAATTGCTCTTTCAGAGTTACATATAAAATATTTTAAGTCATAGAGCTGAATAAAAGAAAATGAACTGGAAAGAATATACGAGTTGAACATTTTTCTTTCAAGGTAAGATGAGCATTTGTTATATGTCTAATTGCAAAAAAAAGAAAAAAAAATTACCTCTTTGTCCCATGAATATATTTGGTTGTTTTTAGTCAGTGCACTAGGTGGCCTTCACTAGAGAGCATCCCATGGAAAGAAAACACGTTTTCTTTAAACATAAGATACAATTCCTTTGAGATTCTATTAATCACTTTTCCTCTCTAATTGAAAAAGTCACCACATAAATTAGAGTACAAATTTCATTCTTCTAGAAAGAACCTTAAAAGTTGACATTTCTTTGAACAATTGTTTCAGAAATCCTTTTTTAAGTACATTTTCATTTTCTGGCATGGCTTGAATTGAATTCTAAACTTTCGGCTGCTTGTCCTCTAAGCCCCTCTGGTGAATTTAAATAGGCTTCCCTATATATTTAGTACATTCAAGAATTCTTTGTCGCAGTGCCTATTCTGCTTTATTATTAGAGAGCTGCCTCGGAAGTACAGCAGCCAGTTTGTTTTCTGCCATTAATAAAGAGTCTTCCTTTTTTTTTTTTCCACTTCTTTGAAGAAGTTGAAAAGGCTCCATGTTGGGTGGAGGGGGGCCAGGAAGAGAGGGAGAAATGGAGGGAACTGACTGTGGTATAATCCCTCAACAAAAAATGTTGTCTAAAGTAGAAACCTCGCCGAGGTTTACAAATGCCCAGGCTAGGCTTTAGTGTGATGTATAACAGAGTAATAAGTTAGCTACAGACTGGTCCCCCCACCCCTAAGACTAGGAAATGTACTACCAGTAAGGCACTGCATTTCAAAATTCTACAAAATCAAATGCTTCCATTGGCCAGTGTTTCAATGCCACCCAAATATTTTCCTGAAGATATCCAGATGCTGTAAAAACAACCACAATGTATTTCTTATACTGCACTTGTATGTCTAGAACAAATACATAGAAGGATTTCAATAAGGACCTACCAATATGGATGTATAAACTACTAATGTTGACTAATGGCCTAGGGAAAGCTAATTCAAAGGCAAGGACAGAGGATTCCACAGAGTAGTCACTTGATGCTCACAAATCATCAGACACCTATTGACAAAGAGGGAGAAACTTTTTAGAAAAGAGGGAATGTTAAATCTGCCTACACAAAAGACCCCCAAAACACCTAAAAAACCTTATATGGCCATGACAAAACCTAGAAGTTTTTATTCTCATTTACTTGACCTAACAGATATAGTCCATGATTATTTTTACACTTGTTTTGTTTGTTTAGGAATTATTAAGGTAACAGACTTAAAGTCACATTACTTAGATCAGTAATGAAAAATTTAGTTCACCTTAACAGAAATTTTCACTTTTAAGTTGTCCATAAAATATGCATGAAATTAACTGTGTATATAACATGAAGCTATTTAATCTTAAATTCACTTAATCTCAATTACCTTCAAGTTCCACCTGCTTTCAAATTCCTACAAGTAAAATATTATATACAAGTTAATATTATTGGCTGATAATGTACTTCATGTCAGTAAGTTACATTTAGCATGCAGAGATGTGGGGAAAAGCAACATTTAATTAAAATTGAAGCTAGTTCATTGAATAAATGGTGTGAATCATTTTATGAAGGTATCTCCAATTTTGTACTGTTTTTACTAAACCTTTTTAAAAAATAAAGACATATAGGAAATATATATGTCACCTACTGTATTAGTTGGTTATTGAAAGATAAGAAAACTAAACGTGAAGATGATAGATAATAATGATACCTAAGTTTCTGCATACTAAATATGTTATTTCCAGAGCTACACTAAAAGTCTATTTTTCAAATGTTTACAAAGGCCCAGGAAATTTTTTTTAAACTTCTCTATATTAGAAACTCCGTTTTCCTTATCCAAATGCAGTCTCTAAGGGATCAGTGGGATTTGAGTGCTAAGTTAAATGTCTAGTAAAAAATTAAACAAAAGAATCCAAGCAATCAAAATGATGCCTGCATTTGCTGCCTACAGAAATGTAGGCTGCATTGCATGTGTAAATGGCAAGAAAATTTGGGTGTTAGCTAACCCTTTATATACTGCTTTTCTGAAGACCCATCCAAACATGACAGCTTGTAAAATCGTTTACATATTTAGGGTGTATTAGGCCAAGCCTAGGCACATGTACCAGCATGCCCATTTGAAGAGGAGTTTAAGGCAGAACACACCCTTTCTAATTTCATTAGTAATTAACTTGTACTATAATTCCCCTGAGATGCTTATTTCTCTTCAAGACATTATTAATGTAGCCTAATGCTTAAATGATTTAAGAATATCTCTACACCTCTTCTGTAGCTCCACTGGAATACTAAAATGTTTGGGACTTTTATACTAAAAAAGATATTGATCCCATAAACTCTGAAATGAAATAAAATCATATTCAGATTTGGCAAAATTCCAGAGTGGCTTCCTGGATGGATACTAAAAGCCTTTAAAAAATGCTATTTTGGAAAACTGATGTTTTCCTTAAAGAGATTAAAAGTTAAAAACATGAGTATCACAATATTATCAGAGCAATACAAAAAGACAAAAGAAAAATACTTCATTGGTCTTTGGTAGATATTTAAGTTGAGTGATTATTTTTTTTGCTAAAAAAAGGAAGTTGAAGTTGACAGTAAATTAACAAACAATATGGAAAAGAAAACGAATCAGGCAGGGTTAGTATATTTATGTAAAACAATGATTTGCTATTTCAAAATTAAAATGTACAAATAAGCTGGTGTCAGAAAGGAGATGATTCCTCATTTCCACCGCATTGAGCAAGCTCACATCGGCAGCAGACAGCCCTTAATATATGCGTCTGGCTCAGGCTGGTCTCCCTACCAGGAAGCCATCGAATTGTTAATATCATTGCTTTTTTTGTATGCAACACACATCATTTTCTCGCTCTTTGTTGTAGATCTCTCCTTTTATTTTAAGCTTAGTATGATCTGATTTTCCAAATCACATCATAAAGCCCTAAAACAATATTATTCTGTGACAGCGGAGACAGAAATGCAGAAAAAGTGGTATCTGTCTATGCACATACAGCATAAAGTAGCTTATATAAACAAAGTCACCCACTTAAATCTCTACACACCTTTATGAAGTAAGAGAAGAGCTTTATCAATGAGGCTCTCAAAAGACAGTTATCATAGGAGGGTTACATAGAGAAGTTCCAATCATGTAGGATTATCAGTAAAAAAAATTTTATATGTTTATGGTGAAAATGAACAAACACCATTGCATTCTCAATTCAGCTTTGGTATATTTCTTTTATGAGACAGAAGTTAATATAAAGTGTGGTCCCTGAATATGATAACATTAAAACATTTTCACATTTCAATAACCTATATCTGATATCACTATAGCCAATAAACATCTACCTCTCACATTGTTTTGGAGTTAAACTGATGGAAACTGTTACAGATATTATTTATGAGCATGTTAAAACAGGTGTCAGTAAACACATACTTGTATGTGATATTATTTTATATATGAAGTACTTTTAAATTCGTTGTGTGAACATTGCTATTAAACATAATCAAGTTTCTGTGTACATGTAGATACACATGCACAGATTTCTTTGTATTAAGAAACTTATGGTTTTAAAAAATGCTCAATTCCAGCGAGAATGAGGTCAAAATTAGTAAAAGATAAATACAACCAAAACTCTTTACTGTTTTTATTGCCTTTTTTCATTTGGAGTTTTAAAACTTGTATTTATACATACCACATACACACACCTAAAATTTCAGAACTTCTAGATAAATGAAGTAGATGATATAAATAAAGAATCTGAATAGGTACAGTGTCCATATATGCTTAAACATACTCTGCATGCTTTATATAGATGCATGTTTATGATATTATATTAATTTTTAATAACTATGACTAATAGATGATTTATATTCTGTAATATTTCAAGGTGTTATAAGAAATTTTTTTAAATGTGAACAATGATTCCATATAGTATTCTAAAATACATTCATAAATTTATTTTAACAATGCAGAAAACACATAATTTATGGCACCCATCTAAGGCAATAGTTAAAAGAATGAAGCGACTTTGTTGCTTCTATTATGGAAAGTCTGTCATCCCCATTTTGAATCTTGGTATTTGTAACATTACTGTAAAATTTTAAAATAGATTTAGTATACTGATTCCATTTCCATGAAAGACATGTCTGATGTGGCAATGGCTATTAAATGTTCAAATGTGACATATTACTTATGGTTGGAATAGTAACCTCTGATAAAACTGAAATTCTTATAAAACTAAAACTATGCAGTTCATATACAGTTGCTAGTCAAAGCAGTTTGACTTCCTAGGTGGCGTTTACTGTTTTATCTCACATAGGTCCATGATATGTACACAGTAAACTGTAAAAACTAAAATATGCCATATTTTCCCATATGATTGATGAAACTTTCACTCTTAGACTCTCATAATAAGATAATTGTCAGAATTGTTAAGACATATAAAGTACGTTGTTTGGATGGAAGACTCAGGAAAACCCTGGCACTAAGCATAAAGTATAAAGCAGCATTCTTCTTAAATCGGTAGTAAAGTCTAATAGGGTCAATAAAGAAGATTGTAAATCCTGTTATTTCTAGGCCTCAAGCATGATTATAGCTGTATATGACATAGGTTAAGCCATAGCTATATGGAGACATACAGAATTTATTTCAGTAGCTAATGTATATATTTCAATGCACATGAAAAAAAGTTATAAATATAATTCCCTTTCTTGATTAACTTAAGAGATATCCTCTTACACTAGCCACCTTAAAATGCACCAAAAGCAGCATTTTATAACACTTGTATTGTAATTTTGCTTCTTACACAGATTTCTTACATTGCTTTTGTATGACTGTTATAATACAAATGCTATTTCAGTGCAACTGTGCAATCACTTTAGAGTACAGTTTCTGACAATTGTATTTTTGGGGGTGGGTCATGGTGAAAACATTGCTGATGATAAAGGAAAGCATTGTTCTTTTCTCCTAGGCAGAATCTATGTATGTTCTTTTGTTCTGGTGGTAACTGCAGACAATCAATAAGGTCCAAAGCTGCTGGTTCCCCTCCGCCTAGGTCCCAAGAGCCTGACTTGTGATGTTACTAAAATATCTCACAAGTTAGGGTCTCAGGGACTAGGAAAAGTCTGGTTTGATGCAGTAGAATTCTTCTTCCAGAAATAAGGATAGCTCAGAAATTACAGTTGGGTTCACTTAGGCTTTTACCTCTAAATACTATTTAAAACACATAAGTAGAAATATATATGATATATAAAAGTTAGGATGAGCTGAGTAATCACGACGACCATTTACAGACTAATTCCAGACCTTAAAATAATGAAGAATATGAGAAACAATGCAGACAATGAACAGTTAAGAGTCATTCCATTAGATCCAAAGAAAGAGACTAAAAATGGGTTAAAAATTGATTTGTACAGCAACACCATAGCCTCTATTACATTAAAGAAGGATTATATGCCAGTTAATGGGACCCTAATTGAAATTTTGCTTCTCATTACATTGGTATACAGCACAACTGTCAAGGTGGGCCCAGGACATATAACACTTTAAATCGGATTAAAATATATACGGTTGCAGTTAAGAGCAAAACAAAAACTTTTCTGCATGTCATAATTTAATACCTCTGAAGCTTGATTTTTCTCTTTGAATCTCCACACTATTCAGACAGCAAATATTTCCACGCATACTCTGTAGTTATTTGAGCAATGCCACTTAATAAACATGTAATTTAAAATGCTGGCAGCATCATAAAAAAAAAAAAAAAAAACATGATTCTACTTCTTGAATAATTGAATTATAAAGCTCAGTACTTTTGAAAATACACAACCCCAATCCTGTATATTCACTGAATTTCCTCCGATCTTTTAGCCTTGTTTGTGGTTCGAGAACAGAATTTGTACTTTAGGAATTATCCAAGGTTTAGTAGCATAGAACGCAGGGTAAAACAATCGGACCAGCCATAACATAAAAGTCCTGGCCACAGAAGTGGAATCTGGTTCTTCTGAGGTAGTTGATCTTAAAAGGGAAAAGAGGAGGAAAAAAAAAAAATTGAAAGAATTAGAACGTTTTCCTGTAGAACAGGTGAATCATCCATTTCCAAGTAAGCTGCAAGGAAAGCTATGCTGCACAAAATATTTGCTAACTGGCCCCCCTCCTCCACCCTAGTACCACACCCCTTTCAACCACCACCCCCCACCCCCTGTCCAGATCTTTACTCTGCCTTGTAAGACTTTAAATATTCTGCTTCATGATGTAATGCATCATTATATAACATCTCTTTCTGTTTATCGTTTGATTTCCCATACTGAATCACTTATGGCTTAAAATAAATAGTTAAAAAACAAAAACCAAAAAAAAAAAAAAAAAAAAAAAAAAAAAGCAGCACTCAGAAAAAGCGAAAAAATAAAACAGCCCTTAGATCTAAGTCCATGCTTTTCCCTAAAACTGAATATGGCTTTACGATTTTTGACCATAGCATTCAACCAATTATCAGAATGAAAAATCTCACCCCTCCATAAATATGACATTAACATAATTATACCACCCCCATCACGGAGACCCATCCTCCTTAGGGAATACATCTGATGCTCCAAAGATGGAAATCAGTCAGATTTTAGTTGCTCTCCAACGTACCTTTGCTTCTCACTGACTGACTGGCTTTTACCCTCCACGCACTCACACGCCACCCCCTCCCCTCGGCTAGACACGGATGCCCGAGCGAGCACGCGCGCGCACACAGGCATACAGGCACACAGCGAGAGGCGAGGCAAAGCATCTGATGCTGACTCAGAGCGCTTCTGTGAGCAGGGGGTGGCAGCGGCTGGTATTTTCACTGCGCTCATCATTAACATTAACTCACAGTCTAGCATCCACCCTCTCCCAGACCTGCTGGACTGCAGCATTTGCATGACGCTGTCACTCTAGCCTTTACAGGTCAGATGATTGAAGAAAAAAAAAAAAAAGGAAGAAAGAAAAGAAAAAAGCCCCAAGGCTCTCTCATAAGAAATGCCTTCATTTCTTCCAGGGTCTCCTCATTTTTCCACCTTTCTACTTCCTTTCTGGCTGTTTCTCAGTGGTTTGACATCTTTCCGGAAGAAAATGTCTTGTGCTTCAATGAGCCAGTTGTCAGCTGGTCCTCCCCTCACCTCACACTCCTGATCCCCACCCCTTTCTCCCCCTAATCAATAAGACGGATCTCCAAATGTAGTTGTGTAAACAGGCTCCGTCACAGTCTCATCCTGGATCCCCTACCTCAGGAAGCAGGCAGCCAGGCTCACACGTGACAGAGAGGAGTAATGCCAGCAATTCTTTAACAGCCCTAGACTTTATTCTATGCCTTCATTTTCCCCACCTTAGTCGAAGGAAGAGCAAAGGAGACTTTCCACTTCTATATGAAGCCCCAAACAGCCCATGAGACACACGAGTGAGACCAATCTGTATAGATCAATCATTTCTATGTGATAATGAAAAAAAACCCCTATGATTTTAATAAAAATAATTGCTTAATATTTTTATTAGCTGTGCTGTCATTTCACAGGAATTATAAGACCTGCCAGGATCTGAGTCATCAATATGATTTAAACTGTGTTGAAATCCTTAGTTGCTTAACAAAATCAACTAACAGAGATATTAGTATATATATTTTTTAAGTTAAGAACTTTAAAAAATAATAAAAAATAGCTGTGTGGGAGTGAATATGTAACCGTCTTTGAGATTGAGATGTTTGCACCCTATAACTATGAACAATTGACTACATATGTTTAAATAAAACATAGATCCTTGTACATATACGGAGACAATCTACTATATGCATTATTACAAAAGGAAGTAAAACATTTGGCTGAACACAGTTGTGTTTGTGCTACAGTGTTTCACAACATAAAAGGCAATATATAGGTATTTACTCAGTTCCTTTGTTCTTCAATTGTTCTCTTTAATGACAGACTGTGGTAAAGTGCCTACCTTTCCTTTCTACATGAACAGCATTTCTGAATTACTTGCCAGACAGAGCTAGCCATCAGTGACTCTGCAGCATACAAGAAATACATACAAAGAGAACCAAAGTACGGCAATTCTCAAGCCAACTCTAATGCTGTCTGGTGCTGTAGAAATTTCAGTTTACTCACACAGACAGATCCCAGCATGCAGTGCGGCACTGCAGGCTCAACTAAGGTAGCAGATTGGCAACAGATCTGTGGCAACAAACAAGAAGGACAACCATTCTCAGAGGTTCCAATGAAAACATCACACAACCCATAAAGAGACAGAAGCATCAATAGTGGGTATGTATCTCTAAGATCAGTTCCTACAGGCTCCTGATCTGAAAGAAAAAAGAAAAAGAAACCTCTCAAACACAACAACAAATACAGAAAAAGGAGTTGGCACCAGAAGGAAACAGAATTAAGAATATACTCTCACGAGAGCGAATGGCAAGGAGGAAAACAGTAACAGGGAAGAAGAAGGGGAAACAGAAATGGGAAGAGAGAAGGGAAGAATGAAAAAGGGAGAGAAAGAAACAGATAGCCAAGAATCCCTAAGCACTGAAGCAACAGTAAAATATGAAATTAAGTTTCTGACGTGGAAGAATAGGAACAGTATTCAACAAGCTTAGAATCTAATGAAAAACTAAGACAAAAATTAACACATGCACAGCATAGCTCAAAATGCTTGCCATTAACATCGAGACACCTGCTGTCTTCATCCTGTCCTTCATGGATTAAATAAATTGGTCATCTCTTAATTTCTCGTTGCTCAGACCCAACTATTTTTTTCTTCTTCTTCAGCTTGCTGGCATCTGTGTCCTTTATACTATTTATTTTTCTAGACAGTCGCCCACAATACTTTGGATAAATTAATGTCATGACCTCGCTATGCCTATCAGACATAAAATGTCGACTATTTTAATAATTGAACATGAGCTTACAGCAACTGCCTACTGATATCCTAGCCCTGTGGACTCCACATGAGCACTGCACTCCTAGCTCTGTGAATCAGAAACAACAAATGCAAATACAACCTTTTTCCCCCCAATCCATGCTATCTCTTTATTACATACAGAGATAGACACACATACAGACCTTAACTTTACAGAAGGCATAACAATGTTAACTGAGCAGTTTAGAAATTCAAGAGGAATAAATATTTGCCAAAAAAGAAAAAATCATACTTATAACTGAATGGTCACACGTTTAAAATATTTACATCCAGATATAGATTAGCCAGGTCTGAGTGCCCAGGCTTCTGTTAGGACTTCCACTGAGGCCAATGGAAATGCAGATTTTGATTAAATCAATATTAATTTGAAAGAGGATGTTGTAATCAATCAGTTCAATTACCACTGTCATATATACAGGTTTAAGTTCTCTTCTAATTCTTAACTTCTTATCATCAACACAAAAGCATCCCTCAGAGTTTATACTTTGACTATGGCTAAAATATTTAAAGTAAAATTTTGATGCTCTTTGACATTTAGTTTAAGCCACATAATGCAAGTATTACCTTGCTAGATCAACCATTTTTTTGTTTTGGAGATTTATTCTATGGTTTTGGAGATTTGTTCTATTAACTTTTTATAAAATAAGCAAGATAGATCTGAATTTACATTCCAAAATATTTTCAGTTAAAGGAAGTAATAACTACTCTGAAACATGTTCATACAACCTGCCTTCTACCTTACTATGAAGGCAGGAATTTTTATTTCTTATAAATGCCATTTGAAATCAGTACTGAGAAGGGGATGATATTTAAATTCCTTAGTGACTTTTGGAGTAAGAAGAAGACAAAAGACAAAAAAAAAAAAAACCCCAAAAAAACTACAGTTCAAATTTTTCCTCAAAATTCATGAATGTACAGAATACATTGTTTATCACTTGCATATTTTATTTTTACTTAACCTCCGTTCTCCAAGAAGCTGTGACCAGCCACGTGTAGCTATTTAAATATAAATTAAAGTAAAAAAAAATTTTTTTTCTGTTGCTCTAGCCATATTTCAAATGTGTAGCAGGGCATGTGGTGGTAGACACCACTGTGAACAACCTGAATATAAAACATTTTAAACCCTGCAGAAAGTTTTATAGGAGAGTGTTGACTTAAATTTTCCTTGTGAAAAGTATTATAACATAACTGATTATTGGATCCCAATAGTTTCTTTCAAGTCTCTTTTAAGAGAATTAAACTATGTTGATTTATTTGAAGATCTAAAATCAAGAGTCTTCATTTTGACTGAAGAGTATCTATTGTTTTTATTTACTCATAGTCTGGAAATATGCACGATTACTTAAGGAAAAAGGGTACACAGACACTAACTTTGAAACAGTTGATAACAAAACTATCAGAAGACACAAAAAACTACTGAAGCTAAAGTCTCTGAATAATTATGAGGTGTTTATTTGTCTAACCTTTCCAGAAATGAGAGTCATTCTCTTTTTAGAGCCAAATAACACATATTACATATTTCTGTTTTCAATAAAGAAGCGTTGTAATAGCAGTGTGAGTAGCAAAAATTCAAAAAAAAATCTTTTCTAAAAATCCTGTTAAAATGAGGAGCAATCAGCAATTATGAGCAGACAAAACATTTGTTGTTGTTGTTGTTGTTGTTGTTTAAACGAAGAAGAGTAATTAAAGGGCAGGAAAGACAAAAATAAGATGCTGATGGACTAGGATGGTCTAGTTGGAAATTTTCTTTTTTCATTTTTTTGATGTGGACTCTCCCTCTGTCACCCAGGCTGGAGTACAATGGTGTGATCTTGGCTCATTGTAATCCTGGCCTCTTGGGTTCAAGTGATTCTCCTGTCTCTGCCTCCTGAGTAGCTGGAATTACAGGTACATGCCACCACATCTAGCTAATTTTTATATTTTTAGTAGAGATGGGTTTTACCATGTTGGCCAGGCTGGTCTTGTGATCTGCCCACCTCGGCCTCCCAAAGTGCTGGGATACTGGCATGAGCCACCAAGCCTGGCCCTGGTTGGGAATTTTCTATGTAATTGGCTGAGGAAGAAAAACCCAAATGATGCGA